GGAAAAAACACACTGCTCAGTTTAAATATGTAGTCAAATCTGTGCCATTAAGCGTTATCACCGTACCGCCGTGATGTTATGCAAAACATTTGGTTTTACGTGGATATTGGAACATGAGTGAAGTAGGTTACATAATAAATAATATTTTGGCATTCAAATACATCGCGAATACTGAAACATTTGATTTTGTGTCGAATGAGAGACGCAATGTTGGTTTCAGTTTTGTTTTAGCCTAAATGAATTCGTTTTGGCTTGTCGTTTATATTGCTATAGCTTCTTATATTTTTAATTCTTGTTCTTTTCTAAATACTGTTAATTGAAAGGATTTGTTGTGGAGTGAGGGGAACTAAAATAGCCTAGCTATGTTTACAGTGTTTATTATAATGTTTGTAAAAATTTTGCGTCGGCATTAGGCATATTTCTGAATGAAATAATAAAATGCGACTTGTACGTGACTTGTTTTTTTTTTTCTCTAAAAAAACACAATTTTTTATATACGCGTAGCGTATTTTAACCATGCAGCAAACCTTTTAAAATATTTTGATAAATTACTGAAAAAATAAATAAATAAGTGACTTTTTAAACCTTTTAACTGATTGTATTAATCGGTCAAAAATGATTACGGTCGGTTAACAGTTAACCGGTTAAAATGAACATCCCTAGCAGTAATTATTTTTATTTAATTTAGATTTAGTTTTAACATTTAGCTTAAGATGTTCTTTAGATTTAGCTACACTGCCATTCAATTTTGGGATCAGCAAGATTTTTAATGTTTTTAATGATTAGCAAAAGAAGTATCTTTTGCTAATCAAGGCTGCATTTATTTGATCAAAAATAGAGAAAAAAATGTTTATATTATATTACAATTTAAAACAACCATTTTCTATTTTATTATACTTTAAAATATAATTTATTCCTGTCATGCAAAGCTGAATTTTCATCAGCCATTACTCCAGTCTTCAGTGTCGCATGATCCTTCAGAAATCATTCTGATTTATTATCAAAATGCTGACTTATGATCTATTTTAGAAACAGTTTTGCTGCTTTTTTATACTTTTTTTAGGATTCTTTGATGAATAAAAAGTTAAAAAAGAACAGCATATTCAAAATAGAAGTTTTACTATCACTTTTTATCAATTTAACACACCCTTGCTGAATAAAAATATTAATTTCTTTAAAAAAAATTACTGATCCCAAACTTTTGAATGGCAGTGTAGTTTTTACTTATTATTAGTTTTATATTTAGTCACATGATATTGGTGACTGGGGGATGTACAGTACAGTCACTTTTAAACAAATAAAATGCACCAGTGAGTCAAAGTTCCTAATTATATGATAATGAAACTTGTTTAGAATACATTTACTGAGACAGATGTTTAATAATTCTATCTGTTGATACTCTTGCAAAACAAATGCTAGCATTGAATAGCATTCCTTGTGCCCACAATTAGGTTGCAGTATGCTAAGAGGCTTCTCAGTTGGCCATCGAACACCTGCGAAGTGAACAGTAATGAACAGTAAACAGTAACAAAACATTCCATAATGTTTTGTTTCATTATGCCTTGTCTTCTGAGCATCAAGCATCGGAGTACTTTCATGGTTGGAAGTCTAAGATATTGAGTGGGAATATCCTGCATCTGGCTTTTGCAATTCCGCACCTTATGCATATTATGCAATTCAGCATAATTCTGAGCAGGTTCTCAAAACAACATAAACACTTTTTCTTTTGTCTCGCCATCCATAGTCATCTATGTCCACTCCACTCATCTAAAGCCAGACGTTCTCTTTCTCTCTCTCCATGGTATCCTTGGTACTTTGGGGCCGAATTTATTTTTTATGCCATGTACCAGAGCAGAGAGTAACCACATTAACATAATCTCCTTTGTGCCGGGTCCAGGGGGTTTCAATTTGTTGTGTCTGCTTTATTGTTTCAAGTAATGTAATGGGTTTTCTTGTGTGTAATGTTGTTATCCATCTGAAAGGGTTCCCTTGTAAAATGAAAAAAGACAAAATGGTGTGTTAAGCACATGCCATTAATTTTCATGTGAAGAATATCCTTGAGGGTTTAGTGACATAACAAAAAAACTGACCTCATGTTGTAGCATGAAGCCTGTGTTATACTTTCCGCATGAACAATCCGGACGCGTACACGGACAGCGCGGACGCGGACTACTTGTATTTATACTTCTGAAAGCATACGCTGATGGTCCGCTCCGCGGACGTGTTCCATACATGCGTAGTAGATCGGTTTGAACAATAAACAAACATGTGAACAAAGAATTGCCCAGAGTTATTGCACATCTGGCTGTCTTTATATTGTTTTA